ATATACGTGTATATAACGTCATCTGGTCATGGGTCAATGTACATGAATGCAATGCATGAAAAGCACGTTAATAAAACCTTTCGGAATGTCATAAGACCATTTTGTCTTTGAGTAATATCATAAAGTAAACTCTTTTCAACTTTCGTATTTTTCTAAGACCCATGAACAGATGATAGAATATTATGACACATGAAAATTCAAGAACATACATATCTCTAATACTTTTATGAATAGAGTCATTTATCGAATTTGTGCATTTGCTCGTTTCGTTTGTGTCGTATAGATCATGCCAAAAGAAAGAAGAGATAGACTGAATATACCTGAAGTAGGGAAAAATCCGTTTAATATTCTTTGTAGGAGCTCGAATCATTACTGTTCTAACGTTTTAATTGTTGAAAGCTTTGAAGTAGCTAATGTTCTTTGGATTGTAAAATGCTAATGCCCTTTGGAATTGTAAAAATCCTAAGGTTCTGATTGATGAAACTTTTTGAAATAGCTAAAGAAAACTAATGTCCTCAAGACATGAACAAGAAGGCTAACGTTTTTGGGTTTTTGCCAAACTTTAATATCTTTGAATTGTGTAATAATTCACAAGACATGTAGTGTCCTTTCCTTTGTTATTTAATTGCCACCTATCAAAGAAATGACTTAGTCATTTCTTTACAAAGTTGCTCTATCTATACAAATTACTCGGATTTTCTTTCTCTCCTAATTTCCAGTGCTTATGAATGTCCTTTATTAACGCTTGGTGATATAAGTTAGTTCGTTTCCTAATTCTGGTAATGGAAAGTTTAACTTTAAAAGTATATTCCTCCCCGAACCCAAGAAAGAGAATAAGGAATAAGAAGATTTGTTAATAAAAACTAACATAACGTCAAAGTTACACAAAACTCATGATTTAGTAACATTAAAAATCTTGAATCTATAACTAAGAAAATATTTAAGAATTTAAAAGAGAGACGGAGAGAAAAGCAGTTAACCAGAGTCAATAATACTAATGATTAAACAACATAAAAATCCAAAGTAAAATATCAAATGAATCTTTTACCATTTGAAAATAGAGTTCGTATTTGATATATACATCATAGAGAGAATATTTTCTAAAATTATGCACCTATGAATATAGAGTATCCTAAGACTAATACTATATTTGGGGAATGAATGCAGCTGGTATTGGAAGAGAATTTGCAGTGTAATGGAAAAGTTCAAGGGAGGATATTTGGGTAATGGATGGCAACAAATAGGAGGGAGGTATTCTATACAAAAAGAATACTAATGGAGGATACGGGAGATGAATGATTGGCCGTGGACAAGATGGATTTGGAATTCATTAAATGTTCCAAAACACAGCTTTATAAGTTGGTTGGCAGTACATAAAAGACTGCTGACAAGGGAAAGATTGGAAAAAATTGGAGTGTACAGAGACAAGATATGAAATGTGTGGAGAAAGTATAAAAACAACTCAACATCTGTTCTTTGAGTGTTATTTCTCGAAGGAATATTTGAGAATCGAGATGGAATGGCTAGGGCTGAGGACAAATGTATCAGACATTGATGGGTTGTGAAAAAGATTAACAAGGAATGTCAAAGGTAAAATGTGTAGGAAGCTAATAATGGTAATCTTGGCAGCTTTGATGTACAAAATATGGCAAGCTAGAAACGATGCAATAGGAAATAGCAAAGTACTAAGTTCAATTGTGGTATGTAAACAGATCCAACAAGAATGTAAAGTCAGATTGAATATGCAAAAAATTAGGAAAGAGGGGAGAAATAATAGGAAATGTATGGAGGCATTGTATAGCACATAAAGATAGGGAATGATAGATAGGAGAATTTTCCTCTAATTTGTACAGTTTGATTGAATGTATAACTGGTTGGTTGGAGATTAATAATATTTTTCTTTAACCAAAAATAAAAGACTAATACTATATTAAAAGCAAGAAACCCTTTAACGAAATATCGTTTACCTTTTTTACTTTTTAAAAATAAATTTCAGATTAGACAAAATAGTCATTTTAATTATTTTCCGAATAGTTAAAACTTCGAAATCAAGTAAATTTTGTTTACCTAAACCTTCATTTTTTAAACTAAACAGAAAGTCTTTAGGACTCAAAATGGACTAGGATTTACATTAATAATATTTTCCATTTAAAAGGCAAAAGAGTAATACTACCTAGAAAGGAATTAAGTCCCCATACACACGACAAAAGAAGGCCTAAATATATATTGCTTGACACAAAGTTCATCCAGTTATCTATAAGACCTGGTATGCTACGTCTACACCAAAAACCTATAGAAAATTTTAAAAAATTGACTTTTAAGCTCTTTAAAGTAAAGTTTACATTAAAAGAAAAATTATAACATTATTTTTTGAGCAATATTTTAGAACTTTGAAACCAATTAAAATTTTAGTTCTTATCCATATTTGAACAATGTAAAATTCCTAATATAGGGATCCAAAATCGATAAAAATTTAATCTTAAAAGTTATTTCTTATTTGAGTTGTATAACATAACTATAATATTTCATACTAATTTATTTTTACTCTTTCGCACTTTGGAATCAATTTAGTTTAATTTATTAATTTTTTTCGTATTTGAACAATGTAGAAAGTTTGAATATTTAAGATTTTTAAATTAATAAATTGTATATAGAGTATACGCGCAAAGCACATACCCTAAGACTAGTTTACATAATAAAAAAATAAAAATAAAAAGGTAAACAAAAATAAACTAGCAGGAACAATTTTGAGAGAATTGATCTATTGGTTAAACTAAAGTACAAACAGTCAGCATCCTTTCTTATCGCTATGAGTAGGGGTGTTCAAAACGAACCGGAAAATCGCACCAAACCGAAAATCAAACCAAACTGATTAAAAAATCCGACTAAGTTTGGTTTGACTTGGTTTGGTATTGATTAAAATAACCCGAACCAAACCGACATATAAATATATATATTTTATTTATATTTTTAAGACTTTATAATGAATTTTCTTTAGAAAATGTAGAAATATTTGGGATCCTCTCATGTATTAACCTTGAAAGCGAAAATTAACAAAAAATTATTGTTAGACGACTAAGAAAATAACTATCATGTGTTACAAAAAAAATTCTCCCATTAGAATATTTTAATAGATCATATGTTTGTAAATTTTTTCCATATTTACTAAACATACTTATCAAAACTTTATCTATAATTTTAACAAAGTAAGATTGAAATAATATTCATGTAACAAAAAAACCCGAAAACCCGACAAAACCGAACCAATCCAAACCGATATAGTTGGTTTGGTTTGGTTTTGATAAAAACCGAACCAACCCGGTCCATGTACACCCCTAGTTATGAGTATGCTGAAAGTTACATTTTTTAATTCTGCAATTGGCTCATTCAGTTGCACAGTTTTTATATCTAATACTAATATATAGTTGAATGCATATTTACATTTCTTGAAAAAACATGTTATAGGAGTAGTGTTACATTGAAGGGTAAAAAGAACATTTTGGTCTGTCAATATTTTACCAAGTCTTACCATTCGAATAGATAATAGATAGAATAGATGAAAAAATAACACTGTATATAATACCCGAAAAAATGTATAAAATTTGTATATTTTTTGTATATATATAAATTTTGTATGTTATATACAAAAATTATACAAGTTTTATACACTTTTACGGCTACCAGATGTAAATAGTTTCTGGCGCAGGCTAAAAGTGATAATACCCCATAATAGATATAGATAGATCGATAAATTTGGAGACAGGGGCGGAGCTAGAGTGCCGCTATCGGGTTCGGCCGAACCCAGTAGCTTTGGTTCGAACCCTGTATTTGTCTTCAAAAATTCATTGAATATGTATAAATTGTTTAGAACCCAGTAACTTAAAACAATTAGAATCCCGAACCCACAAACTTAAAATCCTGGCTCCGCCTCTGTTTGGAGATGAACTGAGTATACTCTGACTGCTATTATATGTTGTATGGATGATTACAGTGAAATATCTGTATGACCAATCAATTAAATTTGTTCCTCTGTGCGATTGCAAACATCGGCATGCAAGCCGCATTACACACAATAGTGACATACTTTTTGCCTCTACTTCTTCCTATTACACATTAACATGTATTTTTCAGTAGGATATGAGTCGCCAAAACCTTCACTGTAACCATGATATATACTGTCAATACAAGAAGAAATTGGATTCTGGTGACAGCAGTAATGTAAAAAGCAAGAAATGTATCATGTCATACCTACCAGGACTATGGAAGCTTGTTGCAGTTTGCTGGAACCCAACCAATCTGTTGCTTCTCGTTGTCGTAGATCACCATTTTGTCTACCATCGAAACATCTGCATACATAAATCAAGAAAAGGAAAAAAATAGTTATAATATGGAGAAGGAACTTTGAACTTTGATAATGTAAGATGAATCCTATATTTTTGAAAGGGGACACTATTTTTCAACACTAAGGTTGAACAGTATAAAAAGATGTCTCGTTCTCTCATACCTCCAATGATATTATAATTTCCTATTCCAACGTCGGTACCATCCAATATACCTAAGCATATATTGCCATGCTCCTGACAGGAAACGAATATCAGTAGTTATACTTTTCAACCGCAATATAAGCCTCATGGAGCAATTTAAGAAGGTACTTACAGTTCGAACAAGATAGGCCTCGGGTGGCAGTTGAAGCTGAACATTTTTAGCTTTTGTGAAACTAAGAGTTAATGGCTTGAAGAAGCTCTTGGCATCATGAATGGATTTGAAGCTTTTGGAGCCTTTCCAGCAGACAGGTAAGCTTTTGTCGTCCACTGCATCGGTCAGCTGCTTTGTGTTTACATCTTTCTTAATCTGAAATCAGCAATATCATAAGCCCCAGTGTGAAAGGCAAACACATTTAGGATTGAGTTTTTCTATCTTACCGAAGACACTAGAATTTTGTATGCTTCAGAATTAAAGTAACTGTAAGTACTTCCGCTGTCAAAAATTATTGGTATACCCTTTATTCCAGTTGCCTGCCCACTGAATAGGAGATCTGCAGGTCCCAAAGAATAGTGTTTCCTGAAATCATAGTATCCGCTAAAGTTTATTCACATTGCTCGCAAAGTCAAATTTTCCAAATACAAAAACCAACTACAGACAAAACATACTCTGAAGATGCACGCAAAATAGGTGTCCAAACAATCCCAGAAGACGGGAGGACATCATCTCCAAAGAAAAGAAAACCTCCGCCTTGCCCGCTTAAACAGTGACCTACTACATTCCGGATAAGACCCAAGCTACTCAGCTGTGATAGAACGCTTGATTTTCCATTTCCTAGACCAAGAATTCCATCGGTAAAAGGTGCCCGAGTAGAGGCTGGCACTTCTTGATCGTACCCGCAACTGTAGAAGCGGAATCAAGCTCATGAATCAGAAGCATAACAATTTCAGTACTGGAATAAAGTTGAAGAAACAGCATTTGGTTTATTGGTTAACAAATTTAAAGGTTAGTCTAAAGGTACTCTAGAAGTTTCTTACCCAAACACTAGTGGAGGTGCAACGGTAGTACCATTGGTGAATCTTAGTGGAAATGCGTCTTTGACCAGAACTCCCAACGACGAACCATGATCTGCATACTCAACCTCATAGTCGCATTGCTCGTCAAGGGTGTGACAGTGATTGTTTGCAGTCAAGTGAAGGGATGCACATACAGGATCCTTACACTTGACAATATTTTTATTCGGTTTGTACAGACTGTGAGGAGCCTGCGATGGTATAGATATATGCAGAAATTAGGAAAGATACTGGTGACCTCTTGCATAACAATCAAATATTAAAACAACACAACAATTAATGACCCTTGGGTGCGGCCTTTCCCCGGACCCTGCGTGAACACGGAATGCTTTATGCACCGTGGAGCCCTGTTTTTTACCAGGGTAACTTAAAAGAGCTAAGTTTGTAGAAGGAAAAAAGAAGAGTCACTGACCGGAGTGCATTTGGCACAAGGTGCATCACACTGGAGCCAAGTGAGATCACTACCAGTGTCTATATCAAGAAAGTAAGGTTTGGGGGGTTGGCCAACATTGAGTGTCACCTGATAATACCTGCACATGAAACGAATAATTCGGGTTTAAGAGAGAGAACAGGAAACCAATCATGCAGTTTACCAAATTTCAGACATCAATATATAAGGAAATTCAAACTTAAACTAACAACAAATATTCTCTTGGTGAACAAAAATTTGATGTCCCACAACACCCAAACCCGTATAAAAGTTGTTGGTTGATCTAAGTAAGAATGAACAAAGTTGCGCCAATAACTTAATAGGATCACGGCAAAACAACAATTATAATTCGTATACATCTTTCAGGAGCTTCAAGTTCTCATTCCCTAGGGCCTAGCCTAATCTCCCTTCTTCCCCTTTCTATCCCTCATTCAAATTCTTCTTCATTTTCTCCAAAACTCTAAAATAATCATGTCGGGAAAATGGTCAATAAAGTTATTGGGCTAAGTGAGCCCACAGATAATACAGTGTGGTACTGTCCGCTTTGGTCGAAACACGTAATGGTTCTCCCCGAAAGCCCTCAAACCATTAAGAGTATCCCTACACCTTGTATGTAGTTTCACAATCTTTACAACTACCAATGTGGGACTTTCATTCGCACACCAAATAAAAGCAAGAGGATGGAACAAAGGGAAAATGAGAGAATAACGAAATGAAGGAAGGATACTGCTACTACCAGTGGAATCAGAGGACATGGCGAAAAGAAAGCTCTTTATGATACCATGGTTTGACTACCATCAACTAGTTATAGCTTCAGCAGTATAAACAGTACTATACAAATCTCCATTGTTTGACAACCATCAAAGTTTAGATTAAAGACTTAAAGTACATAAAACTAGGAAATGTACAATAAATTTCAAGGAAATTAAAAATGCCGAAAAATTACAAGACTATCAAAGTCAAAGAATATGATGAAAAACCCGTACCAACATTCTAAGCATAACACATGGCAAAAATTTCAGTAATAAAAACCAATAGAGAAAACTTGTTACACCCAAACACAAAGATCATAAATTCCTAGAAATCAAATAACAAAACCTTTAAAGAATTTGTGAAATTTTCAATAAACCACAGAAAAAAAAAAACAGCAGACAACCATTAGTAATCCAAGAACATCATAAAGTAAAATTCAATTGAAAAAGTAGCGGAAAAATACCCTTTAGGATACACATTTCCAGCTAGAGGGAAAACAAGAGAGGAACCAAATTTGGACTGTTTCTTCCAAGAGGGACGAGGCAGACTAAAGGCAGAAAAACATCCCTTAAACGACTGAGATAGAAGTAGACAGTACAACACCAATAGCACCCAAAAAGGTGATTTCCATTTTCCTTTCATGACTGATTTATTGATTATAGGACGGGGGGAAACAAAGAAAGATCCGACAAAGTTTGATTCTGACTACAGAGAAAGACTGAGTAGGAGGCTGAACTGAACACCGTCCTCGTGGTGGGGACTTTTGAGTTTTAGCGAATGAGAAATAAGCAGACTGCGTCAATTGCACATTGTAGGAAAAAACAGGGAAAAGCCGACTTTGTGAATTGCAACTTCGGCGAACGCGGGGTAACGCGCTGGGTAGAATACCCCAAACTTAGGTCTTTTTTCTTTTTTCCTTTTTCGGAAAAGGGCCCCACACTATTTGACTTGGTACAAAATTATCCTTCGTCCACCCAATCTTTCTATATATATACTAGTCTCTATATCACGTGTCTTGCACGTGTAATCCCTAAATCTATTGCAAAATTTAGATAGCAAAAATATTACTATGAGAAATATTTTCATGATAAGATATTTCATTTTGCGCCAGTTTTAGAAGATGGTGTACCGGATATTAGCATTCAAAGAGAAGACACACATAAAAAAATATAATGAAGTAATTTGGTAATGAAATACCAATATAAAATGAAATTAGAACTTAGTCGTATTGAATATTTATATCAAGCAAATAAATATATGACTAGTGAAAGAAGTACAACGCAAATAGAAAAAGGAAAGAAATTGTGTATTTTAATTCCACCGCCAGAAGGTTTTATTTTAGAACTTAGTAGTTTTAGTTACTCGTTGCTTAAGTTAGCCCCAACAGAAATAAAGTTTGACTTCGGAAATTTAAGTTTTAATTAGTTGTTACTTAACAGAAGGAAATGAGTCCTAACTCAAATAAGGTTTTGCTTTGAAACTTTTAGAGTTTCTATTTTTGGTTAATTAAAGTTACTTCCTCTGTCTCAAATTACCTGTCGTATTTTCTTAAAATAGTTGTCTCATATTATTTTGGCATTTTAGAAGTCCACGACAGAATAAATTATATATTTTTTAGTTTACTCTTAATAATAATTGTTCTTGAAAATGGAGATAACACATAAATAGAATAAATATTCAATGAAGAGAGATTATATCTTAAAACATAAAGAAGGATAAAATAGTCCAACCTTCCTCCTAATTAATGTTTCTTAATAGGCGTGTATAAGAGAAACACGATAGGTAACTTGAGACGGTGGGAGTAAAAAATTGAATCCCAACTTAAAAAAGTTTTCTTTGAAACTCTGAAAATCGATTGTAATTACAATGTTATTCAAAGGAAAAAAATCTTCATTTAATAGTAACAGATGTGATAAAATCAAACAGGCATATTTCGTCTTCATCCGAATTATTGTAATTTAAAAATTGATATATTTTTATCGCTCAATATTTTGCTTCTATCTATGATTGTTATACCACCACAAGTTACCTCTTGACTACTCGTACATTCTCTCCCTTGAAAATAAATAACACGGATAATACCCTAGGTTTTTATCTTCATTAAAATTAAAATTAAACATTAAAAAAACTTTAATTTAAATCCTCGGTCCTAATATCCTAGGTATTTTATCTTCTTGAAAATAAATGAGACATTATTATAACTTTAGTTAAATTCCCTGTCCTACATTCTTTCCTTTGTCCGCTCATAAA